TTAACAACGTTAATTTGCACAAACGCAATCGTCGTTTAATTCATCCGCATCACGTAATTATTCTCGCACTAACGAATTTGTTCTCTCTCCCTCCCTCTTTTTTTTCTTTCTTTTTCCTCTGTGTTACATCGAACAGCGGGATATGACGTCCCGAAAAGATCGGGTCTTGCATTCGACACTTCTGGATGCGGGTGGCGGCGGCGTTAACGATCGCCCTGCGGAAACGCCCAAAGGCGACGGCAGCCGCATTTCGAATCTGACGCGCACGCACGCACGCGACACCCGCCGGTGTTCGGTTGACACGCGCGCATCGCTATGCATACGTACGCCAAATACTATGTAGAAGCTGTCGCGATGGACCGAGTAACAAGTCAATTCGCGGGTGACTTCGTCACCCACGTGCCCGTTGCCTGTCAGCAGAGAGGAAAGATAATAGCGATCACAGGGCGTGCTCTGATATTCCACGTTCACATCCCGTATGCCGCGTTATTGAATGGAATCGAGATCGGAAAAGGGTGTGCGTGAATTTTTGCGGTTCGTTTCCATTGCATTTTAATTGAGCGATTAATTAGAGAATTTAATATTGAATTTCAGCGGATGGATTAAGAATTTATCAGTGAGCTGCGTTTATGAGGAAATTTTCACGGGTGCGGACAATCGTGAAGCTAATCTGTCGTCGGCAACGTGCGCTCAACGCGAGATAAATATTGATGCAATTAATTAATATTTATAATTTTCGTTATGATGCACTTTCGCTCGTTGAATAAGCATTACGCGCATGCAGCTTTACAGAAGGGAAACAACTTTTACATTTCCAGCTATTTATCTTTGCAGTAAATCACACACACGCGGTTCAATCGTTTGCAGGATTACTCAGACTATTAGTCTCAAAATTCTCACCATTTCTATATATTGGACGATTTGGCGGAAAATTTACAAATTTAAAGTTTACAATTTCTTTTCTTTCCTCTTACGTAATTATATCGTTATCTTAACAAGTTTAAAAAGAAGGGACAGAAGAACAATTTGCGTACATCTTATTAAATTGTATATATCTCACGATCACAATTCCCTACGGCGATATAAATGTTGTAATATGATAAAAAAAAGCTTGTTCCTTCTCTCTTATCTCGGATATAGCTTTCCCTCTATTCAAATAGCTTCCGCGCTGGGCAATATATAATAAGAATATTATTGAGGACAAGCGTCATCTGGCAGTTTGAAGGACCAACAGCCGAATATTGAGCCATCCCTGATCTCATCCCCAATGTCGTCTGCTCGCGACATAGCAGAGAGAGAGAGAGAGAGAGAGAGAGAGTCGCGACCCTTCGTCACGCTTCCTTACCTCTAAAACGTCGTAAAAAATGATTTTCTATCCAGATAATCTTCAATTTCTCTACACTGACACAATTTTAACAGCACTCAAAATAATGAAAATTATCCATTTACTCGCGTCCCCTAAATTTTTATTTGATATTAATTAGTTGGCGGAAAAAAGAATACTTTGAATTCGTTCAATATGTAATGCTTAATGATGATGGTTTAGTAATTTGATTCGTAATGAATATTGAACCGCACAATATTTGACGATATGAATAATTTTTAAGCACTGCTTATGTATAGAATATATATGTATATTCAATACTTTTGATTTAATGTATAATCATATTGTTGTAAACGTAATTGCTGTCTATATGTAATTTCTATTTTGATAAAAAGACTACTCTCCATAATTTCACTTGATATTACGAAACTTAATTTCGAGTTAAATCAAAATTTAGGTCGCGCAGATGGTAAAAGAAGAGTTTGCACGTTAACGTTACCGCGTACATTACTAAATAATTGAATTTCTATTATTGAAGATAATCGGCAATATATAAAGATTTGTTCATACATCTTAAGACGAAGCAGGTCGCATTAAGAATGTAATGGATAATGCAAATTGGGATAATTTTCAGAAAATGTATAACGTATATTTAATGAGCATGCTAGAATAAATTAGAAATTTTCTCATTAATGTCAAGCAAGATGACGTGAAAAGAGTTAATTTGATATCTGCTTTACACTATTAAGAATTCAATGTGTAAAGACGCTTAATATTTATTTGCCACAATCTAGGGCAATTCTTGAATAATTGACGACGTGAGATAATAAGCAAAATGTTAAAACAGCATATCGAGAGAAGACAGATAAATGCATTGACACTACCACGCGAATAATCTCACAGGCAACAGCCATCTTATGTCATTGCTCTCTTGACAATTAAATCGTTCAATTTTGCGGTCCACTATTTTCTCGCGAGTAACATCACCCTGCGACTCGCAGTTTTCTGCTTAGAAAACAAAAATTTCCCCATTCGCAATAGCGCAGGCGGGTGTCGCGTTACGAGTAATTCGCAACTCGATACAACGTCGCCTTAAAACAAGAAACAGGAAATTTTCTCGTTCCTTCGTGCGCGCAGATCGTAATAGCGCGAGCAGGTGTCGTGTTATACGTCCCTGCGTCTATCGCCCACCCCTAACGCATCGTGACTTTGCTCGGTAAAGGCGAGACTATTACTACGCAGGGTTGGATTGGACACGGGAAAAAAACACTGGCTTCCGGGACATTAGATGATGGTGCTCGTTATTTTTTTCCTCAGCCGAGGATGCTTCCGCCGCGTTATCTTCGCCGTCCCCCCCCCCTTCCCCCCGCCCGGTTGCCCCGTCCGTTCTGATGCCTCATAAAGCAGACGATCCGATCATTTTACGCGAATCCCTGGATACAGGGTGTGTCTTATCAATAACAGTGGGAAATGCACACTAATTATTCACTTCTCTTGATAATTTCAGACACGACTTTCGAAATGTCTGTTGAGGAAAATTCGGTTTTACGCTCGCCAAAGTTTACAGGCCGACGTCTTGCGGTAAATCTTGCATATAGGATTTACTAACTCTCGCGTCAAACTTTAGCAACTCATTTGCTAATTAATTTCTAATTATATTTGGGACGTTTTCTAATTAATTTCTTAACATTTGGCAAACATTTGGTCAAAATGTTCCGCGGCTTTCGGTATTAAGTATTCTGAATTAAAATCACATTAAAATAAAGTTTTAATTTAGAATTAACGGTAAAGTATTATTAACCGCTGGTTTATATAAGCCACATTGAAATTTTCAAGGCTGAGCAAGCCCATAACTTGGGCTTTACTCGAGTTTCCGCTAAGGAAAAGTTGATCTCAAATCTGCCGAGAAAAAGCTCCTCAAGTTTGATGTAAACTTCATGAAACACCCCGTATATCGGGCAGGTTCCGGTGCCTCCAATTTGTTTTCTCATGAATACTTTCCTCCGATCCTGGCGACGGCGTGAATGCATCACTCGCGCAGTCGCACTCGCGATAGATACAGACAGCCGCCAGGAAAGTCTGTGGATTAAATCTTTGGGGTGGATCTTGGCCGTCCCTATTTTACGTAAGCTCCATTTATTTTCTCTTATGTGCAACAAAGGAGGGAATAATAAAAAGTCTCTCTTGAGTGTGAGTAATAGAAGCGGTGAGAGACAGTTTTATCGTAGACCAAATATTCTATTCAAACTTGTTGAAAATATAATAATTAACTACACGTGACAAAAGTAAGATAACAAAGTTATAAAAAACAATTTCGTAAACTTTATTCGGTGTGTGAAAAAATGTTTGAAAATTAAAGAAAATAAACTACAATTGCAAGTTCTTAAATTCTGCACAGCATCACATTCAATATTAATTCTCCAACGTATTACTTTAAAAAGAACGGTTAAATAACAATTTCAATATTTTAATACTTAATATTTTATACTTAAATGATCTTATTCAAGGCGCATATAACAGACTGTCATTTATTATTCAATTGAATTCGTTCTCTCGAACGTTATTTAATCTATTCAGAATAAAACGATAAGATTAAATATTGAGGATTTGAAAGGTAAAAACGTCGCAATATTTTAACGAAAAAAATGTTAAATTTTAAAGGAATAATGATTTCTGGGACACTCAGGGACACCCTTGTGCACCCTTACAGCCCTGTGCGGCAGCGCGCTCGACACGTTCTCCGCCACCACCGCTACCTCCGTCGACGTAGGGGGTTGTACATCGCGCGGGCATCGAAACGCGTCGAAACGCGAGGCGGCCGGATCGGACTGACTCGCGAAAATCGATCGGCGCCCCGTCTCGCGCGTCGTCGTCCTCTCTCGCAGTGGTTATAGCGGCGTGCCCGCGCGACGAGGAAGCGTGTAGCGCGTCGCACGCGACAGCACGCGTCGCGAGCAGTCGAATTTCGTCGACGTACGGTGCGGAAAATCGGGTGGCGAGAGAGCTGAGAAACGCTGAGAAACTTCTGCACACTGGTAAAAACGGCCGTCCCGTCGTGGGCGAGAATCGTGAGAAATTCAGCCGGTGTCGCTGAACGCCGGCCCGGGATCGTTATCGAGATCGGACGAGCGAGATCTGTCCGCCGAGAGTGAGTGTGGAATTTCCTCGTAGAAGCGTGAGAAACAACGACGTCGACGGGGATGTTAAAATTCAGCGTCGAGCGATCGACGACCGGTCGTAAAGTGGAATGAACGGTTCGCTCGGGTTCGATGCGTGTGTGTGTGTGTGTGTGTGTGTGTGTGTGTGTGTGATCGGTACGTTTGATTAATTAAAAAATTATCGCGGTGTGATCGAGCAGAGGAGTGAAATTTTCGACAAACGTACGTACACTTGGCTGCGTGTTACTGTTCGCATCTACAGCAAACAAATTGTCGAGCTATCAATTACGCCTGTTAAAAGGCAAAACGGTTAATGCTTAAAAGAGCTGAAAAACTGAACCAATTTGTCCTAAATACCTTTTAAATTTTTGATAGAGAGAGAGAGAGAGAG